CTCTCTCCCTCTCTCTTTCTCCCTGCCTTTCCCTATCTCTCCCTCCCTTCCCCACATCCCTCTTTTTCCCTCTCCCTACTCTCTGCTTCTCTCTCCCTGTCTCTCCCTATATCTCCTTCTCTCTCCCTTCCTCTCTCTCTCTTCTTCTCTCTCTCTCCCTCTCTCTTTCTCCCTGCCTTTCCCTATCTCTCCCTCCCTTCCCCACATCCCTCTTTTTCCCTCTCCCTACTCTCTGCTTCTCTCTCCCTGTCTCTCCCTATATCTCCTTCTCTCTCCCTTCCTCTCTCTCTCTCTTCTTCTCTCTCCCTCCCTCCCTCTCTCTCCCTCCTTCTCCCTATAGAGAAAGAGGCAGCCCGCCCTAGCTCATGCAGCCAATCTGGACTGGAACCCAGAGTTTCCCTGCCTGTTCCTTTTCCTTACTTCCAAAAATATCACACTTGATCCCAAATCACTCGCCTACCTCCATTTTATAGTGAGAGAAAGTAGAATACCAAAATTGTTGAAGCATACAGACTGAGGTACAAACTAGCCCCACAACTCACTCTGAGACCTTGGGCGAGTTCTGTTTCCTCAGAAAGACACAGGACTTCCCAGGGCCGCTGTGCATGCCCAGTTCTTAGCCCAGCACCTGGGACATAGTTGGTGCTCAGTGTTAGCTGTTAACTCTTTGGGGTGCTTCTTCATTCTTTTCCAATGCTTGGGAATCTATAGGAAGCTGGCCTTCTAGGCACCAACGCCTTTGACAAGGGAGCTTAACTTGGGTAGGAAAAGGAAGGTAGCCCTTAAGAACACCCCCTTGCCAGGGGCACGGGTTGCACCTCACCCCTCTTACCCCTCTCACCCCATCTATCCCACTTACCAATGACGTTATGCTCTGCAGAGAGAAAGATCCAAAAGAGCAGCAGGGAGAGGATGCAGAACCCATGATGTCACTGAGGCAGCGCACACATGTGCCACCTGCGGTCTCCACCACCTGATGGTCAAGGAAAGGGATGGAGAAGTGGGGAGCTCAAAACCCACTGACTCTGGTCAAAGAACAGGTCTTAGAGGACTCACATTTGAGGACTAGTATGTATCAGAGCCCCAGAAATTCCTGCCCACTGGGCAGAAGGGTTGGAGGAGGTCATGGAGAGGACATGACTGCCACTTGACCTGCAAGCTGGCCCTGGGCAGTTGGGGGTTCCTCCCCATCCCCTGTCCTTGGAATGTTCCGCCACTCCCTGTTCCCATAGTGGGAGCCATTTTCAAGGATGTAGCCTTGAGGGATCAAGATGTTGTTGAGACCCTCTGGCCAGTGCATGGGACTGAACCCTGTAAAGGTCTCTCTGTAAACTGTTAAGGTTCAGGTGGTCAGGCGCTGAGATCTGCTGGCTTCTGGACCCCAAGACAAGCGTCCTGTTTAAGTTCCCTTGCACCTGCCACCTGCTGATGGGGAGTGATCTCTTTCTTCATCTCACCATGCCCTCTGTGTATAGGGAGCTGCTTTCAGATTTCACCCCCCAAGGTGAGCCAGCAGGAAGCTAAGGTTGGGAAGGGGTGTGGTTGCGGTTTTTCATTCTGGTCAGAGCTAATTTCAGGGTGCGAGGTTAGGGCATCTGTAATAGAAGGGCCCACGGAGATCTGCCCCAGACCTGAGGCCGAAATGGTCTTAAGCTGAGGAAGGAAAGGTTCTGATGGCTTCTTTGGTTTAGGGTACAACAGTAGGGAAAGAGGCCTAGAAAGGCCCAGAGGAGGGGGAGGGAGAAACGGAACTTGGCCCCATCTCAACCTTTGACCTCCAACTCCAACACAATCAAACAAAAACAACAAAAACAAAGGGTCAAATTCAACCCTTTGGTTCATGCCCATGCTCGCTCTTGCGCACGCGCGCACTCTCTCTCTCTCTCTCTCTCTCTCTCTCTCTCATTCTCTCCCCTCCCCACCACCCCATGTCATTGCTCCCATGTGGACAGGGTGGGCTGCCCCAGATGAAGAGGAAAGATCTGGAAGGGACATCTCTCCTGGTGCTCAGCCTGAGCTGGGCTGGGACTCACACCTTCCTTTCCGGTCCCACCCCCACCTCCAGCGGAAAATCATCCTACCGTATTTTAAGATCCCAGGATTGCTGTTTTCATTGAAAGCTTCTCCATATTGATTTTTTAGATGGTGTCCGTGTATTATCTCTTTTTTTAATAAACAATAACACGATAAGGAAAACAATGGAAGAAGAACCTACCAAGTTGTTCAGCAGCCAATTACACTGACGCGGGAGGTCCTCCTAGTTCCCTGCACTATGAGCCTGGGACCCTGAGGGTCCCTAGGATAGCCATGGCAAGGCTCACACTAGCCACTCTTCTTCAGATCAAACACAGACATGTCCTCTCAAAGAGATGAGTATTCCGAACCAGTAGAAAACCAGAATTTCACAGGCCAGTGTGAAAACAGAGAGAAAGGGGCACAAAAAGACAACAGTGATGGAAATTTTTTTTAATTTTAAAGTTTTATTTATTTATTGGAGGAGGGGCACAGGGAGAGAGAGTCTTGAGCAGACTCAGAGCCCGACACAGGGCTCGATCTCACAACCCTGAGATCACAGCCTGAGCAGAATTTAAGAGTCAGACACCCAACCGAATGTGTCACCCAGGTGCCCTGGAAGGTTTTTTTTTACGTTGTAACTTGCCTTTTTCTGTTAGAGTTGGGAATTATAAAAAACATTTTTGCAATATTCAAGGCGAGCACTAATATTCTTTCTTGTTATAAAAGTCCTACCTACTTAGAAATTTCTGCCCAAATTTTGAATGCATATGTCCTTTAACGCAGTACGACACACGAGGTTCATTACTTCCCTCCCCCATTCTCTCCTTCCTTGCTAATAGAATCTCAATTTTTAAACCCAGGTGGGTCCCTCCCTCAGCCTCAAGGATGAAGCACGTTTCATCTAAGAAGTCACATTTTCCCCTTACTGTTTGCAGACATTTGCTTTTCCAGACAATGAGAGGACGAGGGAAACGTGGGGAGGGGTCAGCTTCCAGGGAAGATGGTCTCTGTCATTAAAAGGAGAGACCATTTGAGGTGAAGGTCTTTTCACCATTACCCTTTCCACAGACCTTCCTGCCATGATGTCCAGGGCTGCAGCAATCGTCCCACACCCGTCCCACACCCGTAAGGGGACCGTCTTGAGGACAAAAGCCAGCATGCTGGGGTTGGTGGGGAAGGAAGGAAGGAGTCTTCTCATTAGCGCTGTGGATGCCTCTCTCCACACTCCAATGTGAGAAAATTAAATTGTCTTTATTGACTAAGCCACTGTTTGGTGGGTTTTCTAATACTCAAAGCTCAACAAATTCCTTACAGACAGACTTGGGAATTATATTCATTCTTTCAGTCACTCAACAAACACTGATTGAGGGCCTTTTCTGAGGGGGTCAGGCTCTATTGGAGAAACTAGAATTCTACCACAAAGAATTTCCCCAGATGTGCCTGCAAAAGAAGGCCAAACTTTATATGTACAGGGATTCATGTTCACCAAGAGAAGACTAATTAAATTAGCTATTCTCATGGTGTCCCGTTACAAAATAATGTGATGACATAAATTTCTCCAGGATATAGAACGTGATCCATTTTGTATGCATTTTTAAAATTTATTTTTAATCTTTTATATTCTGAGAAACTGAAGGCAACCCTTCCCTATAGCAAAGCTACCTGAAGGGGACAACCTGCTTGTCTTGGAGCCAAGGGCCAGCCCCCAGAGAAGGAGATCCAAGGTGGGACCATCCAAGAAACTATAGTAAACTAGTTTCCCACCCCAGTTCCATCCCCAACTCACATTCTCTATTAAAAGATCAGCAGGCCCAAGAAGAGCCCTGATGGTCCCACTCCTGAGGCTTGAGAGAGAGAAATCTATGGCAAATCAGCTGAGACTGACTCCCACCCACCTTTGCCCTCACCACTGGGGCAGCACCCACTTTCAGTGTTCTCGGAAAGGATGGGTTCCTTAAGTCCCGTAATCCTGCAGCCGTGCTCAGACTCCCTGGCTCTCTCTCCTCCTCGTCCTGGCCCTCCAACAGCACAGGCAAGAAGGTCAGTACAGTCTTTATTGGGGAAAAGCAGTACCGCACACCATTGCCCAAACCCACGACTCTGATTCCCGTGCTCAGGGCCACAGCAGGAACAGAAGCAGAGCAGAGAGGGCAACGAGAGCCCTCAGGAGGGTCACAGCCCTAGGACATCACCCTCTCCTGGCAGCCAGGACAAGCCCCCCCTGTCATCACCAAAGCAGCTCAGGACGAATCACGACAGCTAAGGCACCAGGATCCCTGCAGAAAGAAGCAGCAGCAGGTCACACTTGTGTCCTCCTGGTTCCGGCTCCCCCCGACCCTAGAGAAAAGTTGGTCATGCATGGCTCCCCAAAGCCTTGGATGGCACCATTTCCCAGACAATCCAGTCCAAACTGGCAGTGAAGATGACTCACTCAGATGTCAACCTTGTATCTCCTAGCACCAAAACAGCTCACTCTCGCCCCATCCCGACCCGGGTCCCCAAGTGTGTCACACACATTCCACCTTTATGCCTTTGCTCACCACCAGACCGCCTGTCCAGCATGTTCTCTGTGCTTTCCTCCCTTTGCCGCATCCTGCCTAGTCTTTAGGGCCCAGATCCAATCCTACTTTGGCAGAAAGACCTTCCCAAGGAGCCACACCCACTCAGAGCCTAGAAGCCCACGCGGTCTATATGAAGGTTTCCCATCTGGGGCATTGGATCTTTCTCTCCCACCAGACTCTCCAGGGCAAGAACTTAGTCTTGATCCTCTGAAGGCTCCTACCCAGGAGCTAAGCCAGTGCTGTCCACACACAGCAGTCAAGTGCACTCTTCTCAATGAGGCTGGCCGTGACTCACCTCTGGCAGAACCAGGGTTGAGGGTCCGGTTGGGGTTTGTGGCCAGTTCCGCTGGCAGAACGGGCGGGACACAGAAGCGGCCGCAGCCTGACGTGCAGCACTTTTCCCAGGCCTGGCAGTTCTCATCCATCATGCAGGTGACAATGCACAAGCCCACCAGAAGGTGTGGACACTCACCACCCCGCCCTGCGGGGGCAACAGAAACAGGTAGAGACGGGAGTGTCAGCGCCACTGACTCTGGATGCAACTGAGACTCGGAGTCTCCAGACGAATCCATCCCTGACTGTAGCCAGATCTTAACCAAAGTTCTGCCTGGGAAGCCTGGGAGTTAGAGCCTCTGAGAATCAGTGGGGCCGTAAGAGAGCATCTGGACCAGCAGTTTTCAAATGGTCTCCCACAGAGTTCCCCAGAGGTCCCTGGGTTCGATGCCTCTGTGGGTGGGGCTGCGTGGAGTGCCACGGAGCTCCCCACCCCCTCCCCCCATGGCTGGGCCTCTCAGTGTCCCTTCCTCCAGGAGGCCTCCCTCTGCCACCCCAGACAAGGTTTGGTGCCCTGCTTTGTGCTCCTCTCATCAGAATTCATTCCAGTTCTTGATCTGTCTACCTTCCCTGATGATAAGGACAAGAATCTATCTTCAGAAACTTGAACACTACCTGGGAATCTACACGTTGTCTAAAAACAACATCTGAGCCAGTGATTCTGAAGTGGAGTTCTACAGTGCCTGGTACGAAAGGAGCATATCGAAAATATGGATTCGTTTAAAAATACATATGTTGAAACAAAGAAGTCAGATCAGAAATGCTCTTATCTATTGTGAATATGTTGCTAAGAATCTGGTCAGAAAGCCATGACCTTGGGCAACTCCCTCACCTTACAGATGAAGAAACTGGCTCAGGACAAGTCTGCTTCCCTGAGGTTACAGAGCCGGTCAGCAGCAGAACCAAGACCAGAAGCCACACCACCTATCTTCCAGTCTTAGGACTTTTCCTTCTAACTCACTGCCTTCCCCTAGTTCTTTCGACACCAGTGCGGGGCCCCTGGGCCCCAGGAGAGGTGGGGTGGCTTTGGGCTGGGTCTAGGAGGACAGGAGGGATGAGAACTCTGACTCCTCCCAGGAAGGGAAAGACCAGAAGGCCACAGATGGCTCCCTCCCCAACCCACCCTGAAACTCACGAATCCCTTCCCCAAGAGGCCAACATACCTCCCTGAATGTCTCCACGGCAAGAGTGGCCACAGCCGGTACTGCAGCACTTATGCCCCTGGGGACAGGACTCGTCCCTGTCACACAGCTCCTCACATGGAAGGGGGTCAGCAGGACATTCACCACCAGACTCTGCCACAGAATCAAAGCATGGGACCCAGAGGTGTTCAGACCCAGTGTTCCCAGATATTTTCACTGTGACTCTTGAGTTTTATTATATTATATATATTTCATTGTGCATGTTAATCCTATGCTTGCCTAAAATATGTATTTATGTGCATATATGTATGTACTTTACAGTCTTTCTAGTTCTTTCTTTTTTTTTTTTTTTTAATCCTGGTCATCGACTACTAAAGTGTTCTCAAGACTCACAATCTGGAAAACACTATGGAGATCTAACCCAGTGTGGCAAACAGACTTATGGCCAGCCCCACATTCACTGTCCCTCCCTCCTTCCCGTGGTAGACACCTATGGTGGTGGCCCCCAGGGAGCCACACCTCCCATATGGTCTCTGGGCTGGACTGTGTGTCTTGCTTTGACGAACAGGACACCAGCAAGCGTGATGCGAGCAGAGGCCTGATAAGCACTTGCGTGTTGGGGTTTGTCCCCTTAAAACACCCCCCGCCTTGGAAACCAGCCGCTATGCCATGAAGAAGCTTGAGCTCAACTCCAGAATGATGAGATGCCCCAGAGAGAGAGAAGCTGGATGAAGAGACGCATCCCGCCCGGTCCAACCACCGTCAAGTTACCCGCTGGGCTCCCAGCTGCACGCAGCTACATGAGTGACCTAGCTTCGCCGTGTGGGCAGAAGAACGGCCCAGGTGAGCCAACCCAAACAGCCAAGGGAAAGAGGCAACTGTTGTCATTTTGAGCCACTAAGTTTGGGAAGTATTTGTGATGCAGCCGTGGACAACTGAAGCACTTGCTAATGAAACCACAGTTGTGTTTGGAGAGGCAGCGAGCCCAGCCAGCTGCAAAGCCTTGCTTCCCCAAGTTACCTTGTAACTAGAAGTGGCCACAAACTAGGACAGAAGCTGGAAAAACTTTTGCATTCTTGACCCAGCTATTGCACCTTTCAAACTGCGCCCTGACTTCTCTTTCTTCCGGTGCAAAGACAGAGCTAACCCAGGGAGGTAGAACCATCTTCTTCAACCACGAGGCAACGAGTATGACGAAGTCAAGGAAGGCAAAGGAGAAGGAAAAAAAATAAATAACCTCATCCTCGTCGGTATCGTGGAGCCACCATCCCAGCCCTGGTCCCCACTTCAGGACTTCTTGTTATGTGAGGAAAAAGGAACCCCTATTTTGTTAATTTTCTGTTGCATACAGCCAGACACATCCACGATGTGCCCCTTCACCACCCCTCTGAAGATAGCGACACTCAGAGAAGAGAAGAGGTTTGCCCAGAATGACAGAGTGAGTCAGTGGCAAAGCAGGACAAAACTCAGCCTCTTGGTTTGCAAGCAAGCACTCTTTCTACTACACCATCCTTTAAACACGCAGGCCCTGGGCCAGGTCCCCCGGAGCAGGCACACCCTAGGAACCCACATCCAAACCAAACTGCCTCGCCATGACTCATTCATCTCAGTGTTTATTTCAGCTTCTTTAAGTGGAGAAAAGAAGCGACAGGCTATTAAAAGCATTATGGAAAACCGAAGCAGGACTGGCCCAGTGCCTCTGAGTTGGGACATGTAAGTACAATTGCCTATGGAGGGCTCTGGGAAGTCTGCCATGATGGAAAAAAGCCAGTGTTGGCCTCCCAGGAGGCTATGTGCAGCTGACAGTCAGGGTCTAATAACCCGGCATCACAGGATTTTCCTGAACAGTCCCTATTTCAAAGAATCTCTGCCATTGTCAGAACACATCGAATTTGATTTTTTATCCAGAACACATGGTCACGCTAATTGCCAGATGCACCTCTCCACACCTCCCCACCTGCTTGACAAACACTAAAATCTATTTAACAAAGAACGAAGCCTTTCATCCCACAGTTGAGAAGGCTGGGCATAAAAAAATATATATATCTCTGGTGGGAAAAACCTAGTAATATAACTTCTTGTGGAGCTATACAGAGCAACACCCTTCCCAGATGTCACCATTTTGCTGAGCTTGGCCCTGAAGTGACTAATGCCAGGAGTGCTCTGCCCCTCCTCATCCCCAGGACCAGGCAAGGAGAAACCTCTACTCTCTTCCAGGCTAGGCTTCCTTGAGGTCCCTGGAGTTTTGTCAAATAGTAGACACAGTGAAGGGACTCTTGGGGAACAGGCTGAAGCCCTGAGGGTCAGAGCACATGCCCTTTGACCAGTACACACCACGGCCACCACTGCATCCCCCATGAATTCCTGCCAAATAATTCCCTACTCTCAGCTCAAACACTGGAACTGATGGCCTCCAAGCCAGACTATGCCATCCTTACAATTTTTAAGATTTCTTTATCTATTTATTTTAAAGAGAGAGGGGGAGAGAGCACATGTGGGAGAGGCAGAGGAGAAAAGAGAGAGAGAGAGAATCTCAAGCAGACTCTGCGCTGAGCACAGAGCCTGATGCAGGGGTCCATCTCACAACCCTGAGTCCACGACCTGAGCCAAAATCAAGAGTCAGCTGCTTAACCAACTGAGCCACTCGGGCACCCCATTCTTACACTTTACACTCAACTGAAATCTGGATGTCTAGAAGTTCTATCCATCAGTCCTTGTCCTGTGCCCAGAAACCTTGTGAAAACATGGCTAGCACCATCATCCCAGACAGGACCCTCTGCCTCTCACTATCTCAGGTTTCCCAAACTAGGTAAGCTCAGTTCCTCATACCACATGGCTTCCAGGCACCTCATAGTTATCTAACCAGGAATCTAACCAGGATGAGAAAGAGGAATGAGAGTCAGAATGGGAATGGTCATCCCCACCCTTCAAATATGCCCCTATCCCAAGACCCAAGCTATCACACACACAAAAAATGGAATAAAAACCTGACACCCAGGAAATACTCAGACATAGGCTTTACTGTTGCCCCAGCTCTAACCTTCCACTATATTTGAGGGAAGGACAGTGGTGCTGATAGAAAAGTGAAATCTCAAAACTTCTTAAGCCAAGAAGGGCCCTCTGAGTCATCATACCTCCTCCTGCAAACAGACAGCCAGACAGCCAGACAGCCAGACAGCCAGACAGCCAGACATCCGGAAAAGGAGCAGGACTGGCCTGTGGTCAATGGTGGCAGAACTGGGTCCCAAATTCCCAGCTCTGACACCGGGACCAATGATGTGGTCCTTTAAGCCACATCATTGTGATTCCCTACACTCCACAAGTATTACCCAAGAACAAGAGCTGGGACTCACTCACAGGGAGACTGGGTGGCTCCCTGCTCAACAGGGAGTCTGCTTCTCCCTCTCCCTCTGCCCCTCCAGTGCTCCTTCTCTCTCTCTCTCTCTATCTCTCTCTCTCTCTCTCTCTCTAATGAATAAATAAATCTTTACTTTTAAGTCTCCTAATAAAGAAATCTTTTTAAAAAGTTTTTTTAAATAAAGTAAAATGAAAACCAGACTGGGCCTCACTTCCCTGCTTTTACAAGCCCTGCAAAGGCTTCCCAGTGCGTTTAGAACAAAGCCTTAGACAGAAGCCCTGGAGACTAACCCGAAATCTGGAACTCTCCCTAAGTGGAGCCACCTTCCTTCTCTTTCCCTTTCCTCCAACCCCACTGACCTCCTTTCACTTCATTGAAACAGTAAGCTCTTCCCTACTCCCAGCCTTGGCTGGTGCAGCTCCTGCTCATCCTCCAGGTTGAAAGGACACCTCCTAGCCTCTGCCTTTGGCTCGGGTCATGATCTCGGGGTGCTGGGATCGAGCCCCACGTTGGGCTCTCTGCTCATTGGGGAGCATGCTTCCTTTCCTCTCTCTCTGCCTGCCTCTCTGCCTACTTGTGATCTCTGTCAAGAATAAATAGAATCTTTAAAAAAAAAAAAAAAGAAAGAAAGGACACCTCCTCTCCAGCTTGCTTTGATGTCCCTTTGCAGTCCTCATCACAGTTGGTGCCCAGTATTTTTAACCACAGCGGCCTTGCTCACCACGGGACACATATGCCAGCCAGGCAGAGGCTCGATAGGTAGTGAGCGAGGGAGAAAGTGGGGGAGTGGACAGACAAGTCAGACTTGGGATGGTGGGGAGAGAATCTGAACAGAGACGTGCTGGGCATCACAGCACAAGCTGCTAAACGTTATTTGGCAGGTTTTCTAAAGGCTTTTTAAATACATTTCTCGGGACGCCTGGGTGGCTCAGTCATTGAGCCTCTACCTTCAGCTCGGGTCATGATCCCAGGGTCGTGGGACTGAGTCCCACATCGGGCTCCCTGCTCGGCGGGAAGCCTGCTTCTCCCTTTCCTGCCCCCCCTGCTCGTGTTTCCTCTCTTGCTGTCTCTCTGTCATAGAAATACATAGAATCTTTTAAAATAATAAATAAATAAATAAATAAATAAATAAATAACTTCTTCCAAAGTGTATGATATAGACCCCCAGTGTGATGGGTTTAGGAGATGGGGGCTTTGGGAGGTGACGAGGTCGTGAGAGGGGAGCCCCCATGAAGGGGACGCTGCCCGCACTGCGCCTGTCCACCGTGTGAGCTCCCAGGAAAGACATGGCAGTCTGTGAACCAGGAAGCTGGCTTTCCCCAGACACTGAATATGCTGGCGTCTTAACCTTGGACTTCTCAGCCTCTAGAATTCAAGACATAAATGTCTTTTATCTATAAGCCTCCCAGTCCATGGTGTCCTGTTCTAGCTGCCCAAAGGACATTATCACTCTTTGAGGTAAGTACACTCATCTCCACTTTAGAGAGACAAAGGCCAGGACCAGAGAGGCCACACAGCAATCAGAGAAGCCACGGCTCACATCATACTCAGACCAGAGCAGCCTCACGGGGCAGGTGCCAGTGTCTGCCCCAAGCCCTCGGGCGGCCTGACCGTCCCACCGCCTTACCATGCCGACCGGCACTGGCTCTGGTAAAACTCTGGCCATGTCAGAGCTGAGGGAGAGCAGGAACTGTTCAGAGCCCAGGACGGACAGCCTCCTGTGATGCCAAGTGTAGTAACCAGTCCCACTGAGCAGTCCAGCCCAGCCCCGGAGCCCTAGGGAAGTCACTGCCTGCTAAGAGTGCAGCCACTTCCGCCTCCCGCTAGACGAGGACCTGCACTCAGCCAGTAAGTACGCTCTGGGAAATCAGCAGGGAGGTCACCGTTGCAGGCTGCCTGGCTCCAAGGGAGGAGGCAGCCCTGTCTGGCCTGGCCAGGGCTCAGAGCTGCTCACAAAGGGCCTGGCTTGGGTGCCAGCCTGTCCCTCAGCCCCTGTCACTCGGCCATCAGCTTCACACACTGGAAGACTGTGCTGGGCCCTGCAGGCTGGCGGTGAGTGACTGGCCTGACACAGGTTCCCAGGCTCTGGTTCCAAAACTGGGCCAAAAGAGTCCTGGCAAGGAAGACAACCCTCTATTCTCTCTTATGGGCAGGGTGCCCAAGCGAGCTGCCAAAGCCAGACAGAGACAGCCCCACGGGGTCCAGGGAAGGGGCTGCTACCTGGTGAGGTTTGGCTGGGAGGAAAGAGGCGGTCACATGCTGTGGAGTTCCAGGGTCTCCAAGAGGAAGAGGTCCAGGGAGGAGAAAGCAATCCTGGTTCTTGATAAAAGGGGCTGGTTAGCAACTGCACTCCTGAGGAAGCCCAACTTAGCAGGCAACAGGAAGGAAGCCAATGTCCACTGAGGGCTAAACACTTTACATACTTTGAACCTTTACAACAACCTCCAAGGCTTATTCTTTCCATTTGACAGAGAAGGGAAATGTGGCCCAGGGAAGCAGAAGACACTTGACCAGGGACCTGCTGGCTGGTAACTGGGGAGCCTCAGGCTTGAACCCAGCTCTCTGATGACCAAAATATAAGCTTTTCTACTGGAATAGCTGCCACATGCACTCACAGAGAATGGTTCCAGTTTCTTTAGGAAACATAATGGAAGGTGTGATGTAAGACCCCATTTAATGCAGTGAAGAAAAAATAAAACTTAGGCATTAACTTATCAAGAAGTATTTTAAAACTATAAAACACCCTGAAATACACCAAACACATCTGGACAATGGGAAGACATAAAGATTCAACATAAAAATGTCCGTTGTGCCTAAGTTAATTTTTTAAAGATTTTATTAATTTGAGAGAGAAAAAGTGAGAGAGCGAGCAAGAGCAGGGCAAGGGGCAGAAGGAGAGGGAGAAGCAGACTCCCTGCTGAGCAGGGATCCCAACATGGGGCTCTATCTCAGGACCCCGAGATCATGACCTCAGCTAAAGGCGACGCTTAACCCACTGAGCCACCCAGGTGCCCCCCTGAAATTAATTTATATATCTAACATCTCTCTAAAAAAAGCAGCCTCTGTATTTTCAGGGAGGGGGGTAGTGCGAAACAATATCATAATAAAATTTATTTGGAAGCACAAACAAGCAAAATTAACCATAAAAATCTGGAAACGACAGGGACATGAGAAGGAACAAGCCACGGAGAGACACTGTCAATTTCTAATACTTTTTGGAGGCCTCTCAGGAGCCAGGGGAGGAGGCAAGCACAAGAGCAGAAAGTTCCGCAAGTCACAGATCTCCCTGCTGGCAGCCTCCTCTGCCTGCCTGGATCCCATGCCACAGATCATCCTGGCTGGGGTACCTTTTGTCTGTGGTTTGTTTGTTTGTTTTTAAGGTTCTCAGAATTTGGCAGGCAATTATCGTGGCTCAAAGTAAGGAAAAACCAGGAATAGTATGGTGTGGGCTTATTTGAGAAAGGAGACGGCAGGCCAGCGAGCCCGGGAAGGCCTGGGGCAATATTTCTTACCCAGCTTGGGTTTAGTGACTGGGACCACACAGCGCTTGTTACATCCAAACGTGCAGCATTTCTCTGTACCTGGACAAGTCTCATCAGTGACGCACCTTTGGAAGCAGGATTGTTTCCGAACAGCCCTGGGACAATCTCCTTTCCTCCCTGTAGGGAAAAAGGAAGACAGCCACACACAAAAAGAGAGAGAGAAACAGAGAGATAGTAGTGCCCAGTGGCTCCCACAGGTTTAGCAAAAGGGAAAATCAAAGAAAGGAAGGAAGCCCTGAGCTTCTTTAGGACACTCAACCCTGGGGCTAAAGCAAAGACAATAACAATGATGAGAGCTCATATTCACTGAGTTCGCCTTGTGCCAGGAACCTCTCATTTGATCCTCATAACCATCCCAAGAGGTACAAACCATTATCTCCATTTTACAGGTGAGGAAATCGTGGCTTAAAAGCTTAACGCTTACAAATAGTAGCTTATGGCTTATTTGCAGCAAGAAAAGTCTCCTTGGCTTGAGATCGACTCTTGTGATCACTACCTCTAACAGGCTTCCCCTCACAGTTTGGCCCCCCAGCCTTCACGGGAGCCCTGAGTGCAAATAAAAGGCAGAGATCATCAGTGTGTCTTCCTTTCTGACAGAGGACAAAGAACTGGGGGTTGCATGATTAAAGAAGAAACCCCCAAACCGGGGAGAGATGTTGCAGACATGCTCCATTTCCAGAGCACATCTAGGAGGCAGGAGCCTCTCTGGGTCTTTCTAGCCCAGAGGCAAGGTCAGAGAGCACACCTGGATTGTGCCCCTCCAGCCAACATACCTTCTGGAAGGCCTCCTCGGCAGACACGACCGCAACCGGTGCTGCAGCACTTTTGCCCGGCAGGACACGACTCATCCCCCTGGCACAGCTCTCTGCACGGGTGCTTATCAGGAGGGCATTCTCCTGCTTTCACTGCAAAAGATGTCCCACGAGGTCGAGGTGACCCGCTAAGCCTCAAGAAATGGGGAATGGAAGCCGAGCACTTCAAGGCTCTTCAGCCTCTGCCAACATTCCTATCCAAGATAGCTCTGCCACTGCTGTCCCCTCCCCTCACACAACCCCTGACACTTGCCCACCACTACTGAACATCGGGCCACTTTGCAGGTGTGATCCTGTTCACATTTAAGGAGCTCTAGGCAAAAGCCAGAACCTCTACTAAGCCAGACTGGAAGGCCTACCTCCTAGTCCAGAGAGGGTAGAGAAAGCCAGGAAGACCTATTCCGGCTGTCCTGAGAATCCATGCATCCTGTCCTGTCCTACAGAGATGACCATCTCCACAAATGAGGACTCTCACTCCAGGAAAAGGCAGGGGAGGTCTTCTTCTTGGTCACTCTCTGTTACTGTTGGTCAGGGACCCCAAACAATAGCTCACCATGCTCTCCTGCAGCCACCCAGGATGTCAGGGACCCAAGAGCAAGAAGGACCTTCAGGAGGAAGAGGCAACTCAGCATGACGATGGCGCCAAGAGTTGAGATGAGCGCTCAGTCCAGGCGGGAGGTGTACACCTTGCCCAGGGCACCCACCAAGGGATGGGCAAGACTAGGAGACTGCCCTAAACCCAGCCCCAAAGTCTTCTCTTTCGCAATATTCCCCCAAGGATGTGTTCTCCTGACAAGAAGAAAAGTGACTGGTTGCTGTTATGTGGGAAAATTCCTGGCACTCCCAAAGGCACATGTGATGACGGTGATCAAAGTCTGTAATGGAACATATACAACACCCGTGGACAATGAAGAAGAACCTGATGGGTAGTTGGGGGAAATGAGGGATGGCCACTGGATACAGGATCAAAGGGAGCCCTAAAGGGCTTTGGAAGGACACAGCTGCAGCCAAAGTGATGGAGGGAAAGACCAGAGATGCAACTTAATAATAACCAAAGCTAATAAAATGCAGTGTGGCTCCTATTCATCCTAGCAACCTAGAAAACAGAGAATGGAGCAGACTACTTAGAAACCATGAAAAAAAAAAACTACAGTAAAGCCATATTTCAGTTTGTTCAGAATGAATACAAATACACCAACACCTGCATCTTCGTCTGTCTAGCCCATACAGGTCATTTTTGGATTGTGTGAAGGCTAGTTCACAGAACCCAAAAGAAGTTGCTATGACTCAAGTAGTCTAGACCATCTATACTCCTTTTCTTCATCTCCTCTTCCTCTATTTCGTTTGACTTATCTGTCCTGCTTATGACTTTGGTCAGACATGATATTTAATGGTATCCACTGGGACTGCTTAGCCCGTAAGATTAAAGAGCAGAGGAAACTCAAGGCTTAAAGTAAAAATCTCCTTAATAGAGCCAAAGAGTTTGGTGCTGAAGAGTTGCCTTATTGTTTTAAGGCTGATACTGGAGCATGGATATATTTAACACTTGTTGACTTACCAACAATTCGATGAACATGTGTTTTATATGTATTGTTTATTTTAGTCCTCACAATAACCTTGCAGAGGTAATAAAACTGGGATTGAGAAAGGGATTGAGAAAGAATACCCAAGGTCATAAAGCTAGTAAGTGGTGGTTACTGGAATTTAATAATAGTAACGACGATAGCATTGCTTGAGGGTTTACTTGCACCACAATTCTAAGTGCTTTATATGAATTAACTCACTTAATCTTCACTGCAACCCTGTGAATTAAGTACTATTATCCCCGCTCTACAGATGGGGAAACTGAGGCACAGAAACATACGTCACACAGTTAAGAGGTGGTAGACCAAAGGCAGGCACCCCAATTCCATAGTCAGTGTTCTTAATCACCATATCATCCTGGATTTGAAGTCAGATTTTTCTACATGAAAAACTCGTACTTTTTACTACCCCATATTGTGACCTGGTAAAAGTAACTTTCTCTACTACCCATAAATCGATCCAGCTCTATTCACGAACATCTCACCTCTAAGCCAGAGCTAAGGGGAGCTCTGAGGAACTCCAGACGCCTCCACTGAGTCCCCTGCCCATCCCAGAATCACCAGTCTGGAGAGAGCAACCCAGCTCCCTAGGGTTTGGGGAGTCCACCCAGCCTTCATTATGATGCTTTCAGATAAAACAGGCAGCCCCTGGGGCCTAGCCCTAGAAGGACCCTGTGGGCCAGACCCCCTTTTGGGGTTGGGTTTTGGGTCCCCGCACTAGACCGACTCTATGGCTTTCAAAGACTGAACTGCAGGCGCCGCTATGCTCGCCGCCCCCTCCTGCCCCGCACTTCACCAGCCTGCGCCCAGAAGAAAGATCCCCCGGACCAAATACCCACAGTTGCACCCGAGGCGCGGCCCCGCCCTAGCAAAGCCCCGGCCACCGCGCTCACTGAGCGGTTAGGAGTCTGGGACCCCAGCAAGACTCGACCTTGCGGTTCCCATGGAAACCCAGCATCTCGCCGCGGCGCGCTTCCGGGTCGGCGCGCGGCGCGTTCCAATGACGTCACGGGGCCACTTTCCGGCCGGTGGCAGAGTCGGACTCAAGTTGTGGGGGCTGGGGGAGCCATGGGGGCCACTGGCGACGCCGAGCAGCCGCGGGGACCCGGCGGGGCAGAGCGGGGCGGCCCCGAACTAGGCGACGCGGGCGCAGCGGGGCAGCTGGTTCTCACGGTGAGGACGCCCCCGGGGAGGCCGGGGCTGGGCCTGGGCTCGGGCCGTCTGGGCCTCGGGCTCCCGGGACCCTGGCCCGCGGGCAAGAGAACGCGGCGGCTAGTGCTGCCCAGGGGGTTGGCGTTTTCTCAGTCCGACGACCTGGATTCAAATTCTGGTGCCGCCCTCCTAGCTAGGTGACATGAGCCAGTCCTGTCAACCCCTGAGCTCCAGTTTCCTCTTCTGTGAAATGGAGATGATTAGCGCCGCCTCAAAGTTGTTATGGGGTTGGGGTGTAAATGCGAAGAAAGCGCCCAGCACACCGGCTGCCCCAGAGTAGTCCCTCGGTAAACACTGGTTCCCTTCCTCCTGCCGTCCCAGAAAAGGTGGGTTTGGGACTTTGGAAGCAGGAAACTTTTCCGGAGTTCCTCCACCCCGCAGGGCCTTTCAGCCGCCGCCCTCCCTCCTACCCCAGGGTGGAAGAAGCGCTGAAATTCCCTGAGAAACAGGGGTGTCTAAGTTTAACTTCATACTCACCTTCCACCTCTACTCCAGTGTCACGGGCCTCAGTGACATCTGTTCCCTTGGTCCCCGCAGAATCCTTGGAACATAATGATAAAGCATCGGCAGGTGCAGCGAAGGGGCCGCCGCTCACAGATGACAACAAGGTAAGGCTGGTCCTGGGTATTCACCTCCCAGCACCCTTGGGGTCCCCCCTGCACAGAGCTGGAAAGAGCTCATCAGCCATTAGAAAGAACACTGGACTAGGAAAGAGGAGACTCAGCTTCTGTAACTCTGTGTTGATCTTGGTTGAATCATTGCCCCCTCTGAATTCAGGTACAAAATGGGGAATCATGGATTCAGCAGTGCCTGAGATCCCTAACATTCAGTCGGCTCTGTGGTTGAGGGCTGTAAAAAGGCAGAATAGCAAACAGTAGGATTTTGGGGTTTTCTGTTTTGTTGTTATGCAAACAGTAGTATTTATGTCAGGGAAGGGAGAGAGCACAAGATGGACCTTGGGATGCTGATTATATTTCTTGACAGGTCGTGATTAAGTGGATGTTCTCTACAACTACTCGTTGAAGTGTATAGACTTTGTATCTCATAAAACGCTTTAAAAAATAAAACTCATTTCATAGGGTTATTATGGAAATGGAATAAAAAACCATGTCCGTGTAGTTTGCACAGAACCTGGGCATGTAGCTTGTTTTCAGGTGAAGCTATCTATTATTGTCGTTAAAGGAGCCTGTGTCAGTAATTGGCTGGGCAGACTAAGAAAGATATGTCTGGGACATGACCCCTGACTGTGTCTCCTTCCTGAATGCAGTTTCACAGATCCTGCCATCTCCATGGACCTCCTCCGCGCTGTCCTGCAGCCTAGCATCAATGAGGAGATCCAGACTGTCTTCAACAAGTACATGAAGGTGAGAGGGACAAAGAGGCATGGCCAAGCCTTTCCTACATCACAATCCCCTGGATCTCTCTGCTACACACAGATGTGTAAAGTCTTCCAGTTCTGAACCCCTGAGAACTTTTACCCCTTTCTTTGGGGGTAACTTGAATACCTCTTCTGCCAAGCTATTTTGAGGGTAAAATAATTTAAGTGTAATATGCTCAACACCATGCTTCAAACAAGTGTTTTTGTTTGTTTGTTTGTTGAAGATTTTATTTATTTGACAGAGAGATCACAAGTAGGCAGAGAGGCAGGCAGAGAGAGGAGGAAGCAGGCTCCCTGCAGAACAGAGAGCCCAATGCGGGACTCGATCCCAGGACCTTGGGATCATGACCTGAGCCGAAAGCTGAGGCTTTACCCACTGAGCCACCCAGGTGCCCCCAAACAAGTGTTTTTATTATTTGTGTAACAGTATCAACGTTATTATTATTTAAAATTCCTTTCTAAGCCTCTAAATAAACTTCTGCATGACTCTGATTGTCCCATAGATGCTTCAAGCAGCATATTCAGAATTGACCTTTTTCTTCCTAAACCTCTTCTTGTGTTTATTCATTCAAGAAGTATTCACTGAGCTTCCACCATAATACAGGCACAGTTCAAGGCACTGAGGATGTAGCAGAGAACAAAATGAACAGTGTCCCTGCCCTCTTTAAACAGATATGTACTACATTAGGGAATGCCACAGAGAAGGGGGAGAGAGTGACCAGTGGGAAACAGTAAGGCTGTTTCATAGACTGTGCCCAGGAAGGCCACATGTGAGCAGAGACCTGAATAAGGGAAGGGAAAAACAAGACACATCAGGGAAAAACAGTCCAGGCAGAGGGAACAAGGGCAAATGCCCTAAGGCAGCGGTATGCTTGGCACATTCAAAGCAACAAAGTCTCCATTGTGGCTAGAGCCAGCTGAGCCAGGAGGAGGGTAATAGGAGAGGTAATCAGAGGGGAAAGAGGGGCCCAGTTCATGGAGAACCTTTGAGGCCATGGTAAGAATGTTGGGGTTTACTCTGATTAAAATAGAGGCTCTTGGAGAGTTTTGTGCAGAGTATTTGATGTGAACATTTTTAAAGGGTCACCCTGACTGATGTGCAGAGAATCACCTACAGGAGGAGGCTTGAGATGATGGTGGCTTGAGTGTTAGCAGTAAAGGTGTTGGGAAGGTGAGATTCCACGTGTGTTTTAGAGGTAACAACAAGCTTTGCTGATGATTCAGATGTGTGGGTAAAAGAACAAGAGAAGTGAACGCATATTATCTGCCCTGGGCAACTATAAACACAGCATTGCCACTGGCTTGATATGAGGAAGACAGGAACGAGCAGGGGGAATCAGGAGCTCATTCTGGGACATGTGATGTTTGAATGGGACTACCATTCATTTAGAAGCCGGAAACCAGGGACTCTGCCTTTCCTTCATCTCCCCTGTCCAGCCACAGTCCTGTACATTCCACTTCACAATCTGCCGTGCCCTTCTTCTTCCTCACCTCCGCCTTGGTTCAGGCCTTCATTTTCTCTTACCCAGGCCCCTCCTGTGACCCCTACTGCTGCTCTTCTTCCCCGCTTTCATCCCACCCTCCCTGCAGATGCCAGTGACCTCAAAGGTGTAAATCTAAGGCTGTCACTCCCCTATTTAAAATCCCACAGCAGGGGCTCCTGGGTGGCTCAGTGGGTTAAAGCCTCTGCCTTCCACTCAGGTCATGATCCCAGGGTCCTGGGATCAAGCCCCACATCGGGCTCTCTGCTCAGTGGGGCGCCTGCTCCCCCTCCCCTCTCTGCCTGCCTCTCTGCCTACTTGTGATCTCTCTCTCTCTGTCAAATAAATAAATAAAACCTTTAAAAATAAAATAAAATCCCACAGCAGTCTCCTGGGTGGCTCATTCAGTTAGGTGTCTGACTTCAGCTCAGGTCATGATCTCGGGGTCCAGGGATCAAACCCTGTGTCAGGCTCCCTCCTCAGTGGGGAGTCTGCTCTTCCCTCTGCCCTTCCCACCGCTCCTACATGCAGCACTCCCTCTCTCTCTCAAATAAGTGAATAAAGTCTTTAAAAAAAAAAAAAAGAAAGGAAAACATATTCTTTCCTCAAGAAAATTTCTCTCTAGGGGCACCTGGGTGGCTCTGTGGGTTAAGCCTCTGCCTTCAGCTCGGGTCATGGTCCCGAGGTCCTGGGATCGAGTCCCACATCGGGCTCTCTGCTCAGCAGGGAGTGTGCTTCCCCCTCTGTCTCTCTCTGCCTGCCTCTCTGTGTACTTGTGATCTCTCTCTGTCAAATAAATAAATAAAATCTTTAAAAAAAAAAAAAAAGGGGGATGCCTGGGTGGCTCAGTTGGTTAAGCAGCTGCCTTCGGCTCAGGTCATGATCCCAGCGTCCTGGGATCGAGTCCCACATCGGGCTCCTTGCTCATCAGGGAGCCTGCTTCTCCCTCTGCCTCTGCCTGCTATTCTGTCTGCCTGTGCTTGCTCTCTCTCCCTCTCTCTCTCTCTGACAAATAAATAAATAAAATCTTTAAAAAAAAAAAAAAGAAAAGAAAAGAAAATTTCTCTCTAAACGCTTTTACAATTTTGCATTTATCCCAGCAGCATTTTCGAATGCCTTATGCAGGACCAGATTTCATTCTTAGGTCGAGAGTCCACTTACGGTCACCCCTATATATTCATCACACTGCCCACTTCTCAGGCTGGTTGTAAAGAATCCAGATTGTTTGGGCGCCTGGGTGGCTCAATGGGTTTGGCCTCTGCCTTCGGCCCTGGTCGTGATCCCTCTCTGCTCGGGGGCTCTCTGCTCGGGGGGAGCCTGCTTCCTCCTCTCTCTTTGTCTGACTCTCTGCCTGCTTCTGCCTACTTGTGATCTCTATCCGTCAAATAAATAAATAAATAATCTTTAAAAAAAAAAAAAAAGAATCCAGATTGTTTTAGCTAGCTTTTCACTTTAGCTAGCTTTCACTTAGCCAGTAATCAACACTGAACACCAGTATTCATCTCCAGTTCTTAGGGATTTTTTTTTTTTAAGATTTTATTGATTTATTTGAGAGAGAGATCATGACAGGGAGGAGGGGCAGAGGGACAAGGAGAAGCAGACTCCCCACTGAGCAGGGAGCCCCACAAAGGACTCAATCCCAGGAACCTGAGATCATGACCTGAGCTGCAGGCAGACGCTTAACCAACTGAGTCACTCAGACACCCTAAGGTTTTGTTTTAAAGTGAAACTCGGGACGCCTGGGTGGCTCAGTTGGTTAAGCAGCTGCCTTCGGCTCAGGTCATGATCCCAGCGTCCTGGGATCGAGTCCCACATCGGGCTCCTTGCTCATCAGGGAGCCTGCTTCTCCCTCTGCCTCTGCCTGCCATTCTGTCTGCCTGTGCTTGCTCTCTCTCCCTCT